CTGAGAAGATTACACAAGTTGGAGATCGAAATACCTGAAATCGAGAAGGCTAGTTTTGCTCCAGTTTGACAGATTGATAATCGGTGTTGACGCATGCTAGCTGCCGTCTTGCTAAATTAATAGTTTTGGTGTAATTGGATTTTAATCAGCATAACCTGTTGAAAGCCCTCATCAGCCCCTCCCCCTCCCCATGGTTCACTAGCGCTAGGGTTGGCAAGTGGCAGCTTCAGATAATGCATTCGATTGCTAAAGATCTTCTGCTATAAAAGTGAGGTAATTTTATCGTTATTTTATCCATTTCCTGCTGCCCTCTTAGACTTCTTTGATCAATAATTTTTTTCCTTTCATCCTTCTTTCAGGCGTAATCTCTTGCTGGGTGGTTCTCAGAAGTTTGTACCATTCAAAGCAACTATCCGTTCATTCATTACGATGTCGCTTATGATTATGTTTCAGCGGTTAAAATATATAATTGTTATCCGCAAAAAATATTCTTTCATTTCTTTCATGCTCTGCTGTTATTTTTCAGTTGTGGTTACGGCAAATACAGTAGATTTTTCCAGTGATTGAAGTGTTTCAGGTCTTTAACTAGCTTTGTCGGTTTTAATTGAACTTAAGATAGATTTGGACTAAAAACTGAAAATTGCATCAGAACGGTTTATTTATACAGAACGCAAACGAAGAAGTTTCTCAGTTAGGTGATTGACCAATACCAACATTTCGGCTCGCCTCTCCGGAGCCTTCTTCAGCGAGGTCCGAGTTGGTTTCAGCAGTTGGTTGTGTGGTGCGCAGCTGTTGAGGTGTCTAGACCCAAGGGTGTGCATCCATGCGGCTGGTTAAGTAGTTTTTGGATCACGAACTTGGTAATGCTTGTCCAAGCCGTATGGAGTTCATAGCCTTTGTCTCGATGGGCATTTTCACGGAATTGGCTCGTCTGCTCAATTCAGTTTTAATCATGCAATTTGTTCATTTGATATTCACCTACTGTCATTTGACACTTACCATAGAAAGATAGAAACCATATGACATTCTCCTTAAACAAAATTCAGCTGTTACAACTATGAAATGATACGTATGCAGTCAATTAGGGCGTTTCCGAAAGCTTTTAAGTGTGAGCACTAAAACAAATTGATCAAATATCCTTTAATATTCGGATATATGTCAGAGATTTTCTTATCCATTGTTCAAATTCAAAATTATTTCAACTGCTGAATATAATCTTTCAGGGCCTACGCAACGATCTGAAGGCTGCTATGGTCAAGGTGGATCAGGAATACCTGAACGAGATCATACATGGTGAGAGCGAAGAGCAGAAGAAACACGACGTGAAAGTCGACGACGACTGTATCACGCTGAAAGAAATCACGGTATCAAACGCGCTTAGCATGTGATACGGTCTTAATTTAAATGAATTTAATTTTACATTTCATAACTAAATGCTAACAATATGACACTGAAATATAATACAAAACGGTTTTGGTGCGCAGCACAATGCTAGTGCCGACTTTCTCTCGTGGACCTTACATCAGAGTGAGATTGGTGGTTATTTGTTAGTGAGAATGTGGTGCCTACACAGTCGTCTATTCATTTGGAGCGGGACAGTCCGCAAATCAAACTTGGTCTTGATAAGGAGGCCCAAAAAATAAAGCGAAACTTTTCTCTTTCGTGATAATCGTTCACTGCCCGCAGACGCATTCGAAGATGTTGCAAGGCGTACAAAAATTTTATTTTGGCAATCTGGTTGTGGTAAATGATGATTTTTGCCACAGCGATTAAAGTTCATTACTACAAAGCTGGGACACTATTTATAATCAGATATCACAAATTTGGGCTGCACTGCTGTTTATACTTTGCAAGCCTTTTGTGAGCTGCTAAGCCATACTTCCACAACCTCGAAGTCGTAGGAGGGTAGCAGAGGGTTTTCAAAACTACGTGCAGCTGAACCTCTGGCATGATCAACTGTTGTGAAAGTTTTAAAAATATTTCCACAAAATGGAAGATGCAACATCATTAACCGGCCTAGAGCCAGCATCGTCACTTTTGTCCAAATCCTCAAAGATTGAATCACATCTGAAACTACGCCTTCATTCCCGCTGAGGTTGAATTGCCGCCGACGAAGGCAGCAGCTTGTCAAACATTAAGGCGAAGGATGCTAAGAATACCCGAATTACGGATCAGAGCTGCTACGGTTTACTAACACTGATGACGTAAACGTGCAAATCACTACTCCGCGAAGCCAGATTTCAAGAGCTGGAAGAAGCGCTGAGTAAGAGCAAGTGGGGCACTGTCAAATCAGAGGATCAGCAAATGGAAGAACAGCGGGAGTAGGTTTCATTATCCGTAGAGGAGTAAAGAAAAATGTAGTGCGAATAGACGATACCTAAGAGGTATTAAAGACTGGTTCTGATAATGATGTGTTTTCAGGAAATGGCTGAACATCTGGAAAAAGGAGACGTGGCTAAAGACTGCCTGTTGGTTTCGTCATTTCTCAACGTAACGCAGATTCATTATTTTACTTATCTTCTATTTCGTTCCTTTTAGCTGATCATCCAAAAATGGGGTAAGCAACTGAACAGCCGCCCAGAAGAGGAAAAAAGAAGCCCGCAAGGAAAGTTCACGAGCGCAACGTTCACTCAGACAATGGAATATATCAACCCGCTGCTCAGACAACTTAAAGCAAAAGTTAGTTATTTTAAGACATCTTTCTACAGAGCATTGCTCATTTGAATTTTTGCAGATTCTATTTATGCTAATTGCGTATGTCATGTTGCTTATTTAATACATTAGCTCAATTTGTCCCTAAAGTTCACGCCTTGGTTGCTCCGGCTCAGCGCCCCTGGTTGCCCAGAGGGAATTAAGTCACGACGTCTCCGCCGTAGAATGCTTCTCCATAATTACTTTGTTTGAGTCGTATTTTATTCAGTGGGATGTTTCAGAAGATGTTATGTCGTTATGTCGATGCATCAAAAACATGGTTTAAGTCAAAATAGGATAATTAGAACATAAGTCTTCCGTCACAAGATTAGAATGCATATCTAACTGATATCACTTCTTCACTTCACTTTCCATGATCGCTTCATCTTCCGGTCGCGGCCGCAGACGCCGTTTCGTTTCTGATCCTGTGCCGGCATCTGAGCTTCGGCAGAGGGCAACCGAGCCACTATTATGCTCACTAACGGCAAAACCACGATGGATAGGTGGCTATGTTTTACGGAAACGAAAATGCTTTGCGAACTTTCAAAGGCGGAGTTCCTGACCAATTTTTTTTAAGTGTTTATATTAACTGTCAGCTTTCTGATCATCATTGGTGGCAACCAAAATATTGGTTTTGCGAATACTATTAGTCTATGTTCATCTCTGCACTACGGGTACTCGAGCGTGGTATAGTCATAACTCGCGAAATTGCCCAAAATACCTGGGGTAACAGCATGTATTGCCCAATATACATGTTAGCTTGAACCTCATGAATCTGGCGTTGTTTGGTTATGCGCTTATGAATACGGAATCTGAAGTCGTTTTGAACAAAAACCAAGTTCAGGATCAGTGCATGTTTTAGCAGCAGTTAATTTAAGTTTGATTTTTGTTTTAGTCTGTAGCATCAGATATCTTGGAGCATCTCGTGAACATCGTATTGTGTCTGTTAGAGAGAGACTACGTCCAGGCAAACAACCACTACATGGAAATGGCGATCGGCAACGCTCCTTGGCCGGTGGGCGTAACCGCTTCGGGAATTCACAAGCGACCTGGTAGTGAAAAACTATACGTTCGAAACGTTGCCCACGTTTTAAACGACGAAGTTCAACGGAAATATATTCAGGTATAGCACACTTTTAAGTTTGTTTTTATGTTCAATGTTTAGAAAAGCAGCAGGGTGGAGGCAGATCTGCTTTTAGAGGGGAACTGCTCTTTTGATGGTGCAGCAAACGGTGACTTATATAAAAAATGTTGTAAAACTGTTAATACAGTAAAGGTCACAAACCAGAGACAATCTGCTTATCTGAATGATTGAAAGTGAAGTCTGTGCGCACAAACAAATTAGGAGATATGATAAAATGCCTACTTTTG